CACAACGTCTTTGATATCCCTGCGTCGTAAAGTAACTTACGAAGGCGACGGAACTTTAGATATGAGAGGGAGCGATGAACCAATATACTCGTTTTGACCTTAAACTGGGAGTGAAAACTGGACCTCAAGTATCACTTGCCTCTCAGAGCAAGTTAGCTGTCGTCTGGTGGTGTTTGGATGGAAAAATGACACCAGCAGCTGCAGAATGCGAATGGAGACAGGATGGAGAGCATTAGGACATCCAGCCAGGTAAGAATTAAACCTCAAAAACTGCTGTACAAACTTGTTTTTTGCAAGAAACGTCTGTCACCAATTATTTTAGTTTCAAGGTACCCTCGTGGCCCGGCCAGAATACTGTGATATTTTTAGAACAATCTGCGGGAAATTCAAATCCAATCACTCTGAGCACGTGCGCTTGCTGCTGATTCGCAGCGAAAAGCACTTTTGGGTTCTGTCCTGGTGTACCGGTTCACAAGGGAATTACCATTGTTCTTTCTTTGTTTAGGAGTTATCGGCTAGCTATTGTGTATTGTTTGCTCTTTTGTATTGGCTCTTGTGAACCGGTACACGAGGACAGAACCCACTTTTGGAACTGTGTTTGCGGACGGCAAACTTATAAAATTGAAGTCACATTTTAAAAGAGTTCTCTTGGGCAAGAGGGAAGGTATTTGTAAAGTCTGTGAGGAGTTGGCAAGAATATGTTTAAATTTGCAGTTGTTGTAGTTGTAGTTGTTGCATTTTAAATTAATCGTGAAAATACATGTTAATGTGCGCTCAAGAACATCGACTTTTTCTCATAAAAAAGCCAAAAAATAAGGAAAATTAAAAATCTAAATAAGAATTAAGAAGGCAAATGGAAATACCTGGCCGGGGACACAACCTAACTTTCATCACTGATGCAGAGACAGTTCATTGTAAAGAAAAAAACGGAAAGAGTACCATATAACCCCATACATTAATTATGTATTCCACTTCTTTGTCTCTCACAGCAAAACTTTGAAAACAAAGTTTACTAGTCTGAATGCATAATTAATGTATGGGGTTAAATGCTACTCTTGCCACAAAAAACTAAAAAAGATCCAGGAATTCAAAGAAATCTTAAAGTCTGCAAGAGAATACAAGTTAAAACCTTTCTCTTGAAATATTTCAAAAGTGAGGCTTGTGTGTGTTGTACTGTTGCTAAGTATTGAAACTGTTGTCAAGTATTTGAAAGCCTGTTCAAACTTGAGCCACTTTATTTTGCAATAACCTCTGGATGGCGTAAATATAAAGATACACCACAGTATGTTACTATTTTATCCTGTGTAATAAGTACCTCTTGTCTTTGTGACTCACAGCAGGTACATCCCTTTTTTCAATTAGTACACTCTTGCTAGTCTAATACTTGGCTACGAATATGCTTTTTCCATTTTGTTTTCACTGTGTTTACACAAGAAGGATACAAATATGTCTAATTTACGGTGGCCCACAAGTGCACACTGAATTCTAAATCTCCACACTGAATTCTAAATCTCCACACTGAATTCTAAATCTCCACGCCGAATTCTAAATCTCCACACCGAATTGTAAATCTCCACAGCGAATTCTAAATCTCCACAGCGAATTCTAAATCTCCACACCGAATTCTAAATCTCCACACCGAATTCTAAATCTCCACCCCGAATTCTAAATGTCCACACCGAATTCTAAATCTCCAAGCCGAATTCTAAATCTCCATGCGGAATTCTAAATCTTCACGCCGAATTCTAAATCTCCACGCCAAATTCTAAATCTCTGTGCAGAATTCTAAATCTCCACACCAAATTCTAAATCTCCACACCGAATTCTAAGTCTCCACACCGAATTCTAAATCTCCACACCGAATTCTAAAGCTCCACGCTGAATTCTAAATCTCCACTCCGAATTCTAAATCTCCACGCCGAATTCAAATTGCTCACACCCAATTCCAAAGATCTGGGAGACTGGACCGAGTATTGTTTCATCAAATTGGCATTGCTTTGGCCTGGGGCGTTTAGTAGCCCATCTGCCGTTAGAATGTCTTTTGACATTTTCTGTAGGTGGTCAGGTAAGACCACGGTTTCGATCCTAATCTTGTGGATCTCGTCAGTTGCCAATTAACTAAATAGACTGGTAGAGATTCATTCTTGGTATCAGTCACACATGAGTTGTTTCACAACCACCGGAGGGCCTCGTCAAAA